CATGGGGCCGGCACAGCTGGGCACGGCATGGGCAGAGACGGGCATGGGGCCGGCACAGCTGGGCACGGCATGGGCAGAGACGGGCATGGGGCCGGCACAGCTGGGCACGGCATGGGCAGAGACGGGCATGGGGCCGGCACAGCTGGGCACGGCATGGGCAGAGACGGGCATGGGGCCGGCACAGCTGGGCACGGCATGGGCAGAGACGGGCATGGGGCCGGCACAGCTGGGCACGGCGCGGGCAGAGGTGGGCATGGCACGGGCTGAGGTGAGCATGGCGCGGGCAGAGGTGGGCACGGCGCGGGCAGAGATGGGCACGGCGCGGGCAGAGGTAGGCACGGCGCAGGCAGAGGTGGGCACGGCATAAGCCGAGGTGGGCACGGCGCGGGCAGAGATGGGCACGGCGCGGGCAGAGGTAGGCACGGCGCAGGCAGAGGTGGGCACGGCATAAGCCGAGGTGGGCACGGCGCGGGCAGAGATGGGCACGGCGCGGGCAGAGGTAGGCACGGCGCAGGCAGAGGTGGGCACGGCATAAGCCGAGGTGGGCACGGCGCGGGCAGAGATGGGCACGGCGCGGGCAGAGGTAGGCACGGCGCAGGCAGAGGTGGGCACGGCATAAGCCGAGGTGGGCACGGCGCGGGCAGAGATGGGCACGGCGCGGGCAGAGGTAGGCACGGCGCAGGCAGAGGTGGGCACGGCATAAGCCGAGGTGGGCACGGCGCGGGCAGAGATGGGCACGGCGCGGGCAGAGGTAGGCACGGCGCAGGCAGAGGTGGGCACGGCATAAGCCGAGGTGGGCACGGCGCGGGCAGAGATGGGCACGGCGCGGGCAGAGGTAGGCACGGCGCAGGCAGAGGTGGGCACGGCATAAGCCGAGGTGGGCACGGCGCGGGCAGAGATGGGCACGGCGCGGGCAGAGGTAGGCACGGCGCAGGCAGAGGTGGGCACGGCATAAGCCGAGGTGGGCACGGCGCGGGCAGAGATGGGCACGGCGCGGGCAGAGGTAGGCACGGCGCAGGCAGAGGTGGGCACGGCATAAGCCGAGGTGGGCACGGCGCGGGCAGAGATGGGCACGGCGCGGGCAGAGGTAGGCACGGCGCAGGCAGAGGTGGGCACGGCATAAGCCGAGGTGGGCACGGCGCGGGCAGAGATGGGCACGGCGCGGGCAGAGGTAGGCACGGCGCAGGCAGAGGTGGGCACGGCATAAGCCGAGGTGGGCACGGCGCGGGCAGAGATGGGCACGGCGCGGGCAGAGGTAGGCACGGCGCAGGCAGAGGTGGGCACGGCATAAGCCGAGGTGGGCACGGCGCGGGCAGAGATGGGCACGGCGCGGGCAGAGGTAGGCACGGCGCAGGCAGAGGTGGGCACGGCATAAGCCGAGGTGGGCACGGCGCGGGCAGAGATGGGCACGGCGCGGGCAGAGGTAGGCACGGCGCAGGCAGAGGTGGGCACGGCATAAGCCGAGGTGGGCACGGCGCGGGCAGAGATGGGCACGGCGCGGGCAGAGGTAGGCACGGCGCAGGCAGAGGTGGGCACGGCATAAGCCGAGGTGGGCACGGCGCGGGCAGAGATGGGCACGGCGCGGGCAGAGGTAGGCACGGCGCAGGCAGAGGTGGGCACGGCATAAGCCGAGGTGGGCACGGCGCGGGCAGAGATGGGCACGGCGCGGGCAGAGGTAGGCACGGCGCAGGCAGAGGTGGGCACGGCATAAGCCGAGGTGGGCACGGCGCGGGCAGAGATGGGCACGGCGCGGGCAGAGGTAGGCACGGCGCAGGCAGAGGTGGGCACGGCATAAGCCGAGGTGGGCACGGCGCGGGCAGAGATGGGCACGGCGCGGGCAGAGGTAGGCACGGCGCAGGCAGAGGTGGGCACGGCATAAGCCGAGGTGGGCACGGCGCGGGCAGAGATGGGCACGGCGCGGGCAGAGGTAGGCACGGCGCAGGCAGAGGTGGGCACGGCATAAGCCGAGGTGGGCACGGCGCGGGCAGAGATGGGCACGGCGCGGGCAGAGGTAGGCACGGCGCAGGCAGAGGTGGGCACGGCATAAGCCGAGGTGGGCACGGCGCGGGCAGAGATGGGCACGGCGCGGGCAGAGGTAGGCACGGCGCAGGCAGAGGTGGGCACGGCATAAGCCGAGGTGGGCACGGCGCGGGCAGAGATGGGCACGGCGCGGGCAGAGGTAGGCACGGCGCAGGCAGAGGTGGGCACGGCATAAGCCGAGGTGGGCACGGCGCGGGCAGAGATGGGCACGGCGCGGGCAGAGGTAGGCACGGCGCAGGCAGAGGTGGGCACGGCATAAGCCGAGGTGGGCACGGCGCGGGCAGAGATGGGCACGGCGCGGGCAGAGGTGGGCATGCCGCAGGCCGAGGTGGGCACGGCACAGGGGTGGGCATTGTGCAGGCCGAGATGGGCATGGCACGGGTAGAGGTGGGCATGGCACAGAGGTGGGCACGGCACAGGGGTGGGCAGGCACGGGACAGGCAGAGGTGGGCGTGGCGCAGAGGCTGGGGGGGACGGGGCCGCG